CCCCAAAACCCCAAAACCCCAAAACCCCAAAACCCCAAAACCCCTTTCTTCACAAAAAATACTGAGAATGACGATTTGTCATGTATCAACTAATAATCCGGAGTAAATTATAAAATTAATGTCAATCGTGCACGTGCCTACATTTGAGATAAACCTAGACCTACCGGCAGAGGAGAGATATCTCGAAATATACGTAAATTTCAGTGAAAATATCAAGCCACTGTTTACTTCCTTCTATAAGAGCATCCCGAGGAGCAGGAAGAAGTTCTTCCCTGCCTTCGCGAAGTTTCTGGAGAAATCTGACAACGAGTACTACAAAGAAATGGAAGCTCTCGCTAAGATCATTGAGATGAAGCCTTATGAATGCATTGCAGTTGAACACTGCTGTGAGTTCATGGTCGGCTGCACCTCTGTGCTGGCCAAGGCGAAAGATGAAGTCAATGGAGGATATAAGATCGTTCATGGAAGGAATTTAGATTACGTAAGTCAAGAAAGTGACCTGGTTTAGCCACTAGAAGTTAGCCTGATGAGAGATGTACTGTATAAGGGGGTCATGACGAAGGATGGCAAGGAAATTGGGACTAGTAAGTGGAGTTTTGAAGGAAAATGTTAATTTTGTTATAGGTCTGATCTTTGCAGGATTTCAAGTACGTCTTTTAATTTAATAATCACGTTCGACACAAATTCTTAATTGATGATCTTGTGGAAAAATTGATTACTTTTGCTAGATTTTACGTATCGTATTTAGTAAATTAAATTACAAATTTTTATTTTAAACAATTGCTGTTGTTTTCTGATACCTCTCCTTCAAGATTTTATCTACTCAGAATGGCTGGTGAAACTCTTCATAGCTTTACACTTCAATCAAGAAGGGAGCTTACTCCATAAGCTATAATCAACGGATGAAGAAGCAGGAGAATGGCTTCTTAAAATCAATGGTTCTTGCTTTCTTGGGCTATAAGAAATATTCACGAATCATACAAGAAACTTTAATAACTTGCGATACTTTTGATGAAGCTGTGGAGCATCTCAAATCTACACCATCTTTGAATGAGTGCTATCTCTCGATTTGAGGAATTGACAGAGGAGTCAAAATCACCAGAGACAGGTTCAAAGCCCGTCTCGAGTGGGTCTATGCCGACGGCAGAGAAGATGGCAATACCTTCGATGTCCAAACTAATTGTGACTCTTGGGAAGAAATCCCTAAGAGAGATAACAACAGGAGAAAAACTGCAATTGAACTTGTCGAAGCCACTGGAGTGGAACATATGAATGAGAAGAGAATGCTGTTTAACGTTATGAATGTTGACCCTGTTTGTAACAAGGAGACAGTTTATTCCTCCTTCATGGACCCTAGCACATATAAATGCGTTGTTTTAATCAATTAGATAGCCCTGATTTGGGGTTTTGGGGTTTTGGGGTTTTGGGGTTTTGGGGTTTTGGG